AATTGAAATGGGCCGCCTTTGAAAATGCCCGTTGATGTTCATCAGCGGTTAAATGGAGAAACTTAATACCCACGGAGACAATTGGTAACAAACCGCGAATGGCCTTCTCGCCGAGTCCATTACCATTCGTTGGGTCCATTTTAATTGCCGTTTCGGACTTTCTCCCAGCTGGACGCGAGTTACGAATCGCGGAAGATCTTCGGGAACGATAAAAGGAAACGGGGGTATTTACCTCTCCCAAAGGAAATCCCGGGCGCTTTCACTTAAAATGTGACTTAAGATCGGACTTTATTTCCGGAAACGTTGATCCTCGAGAATTTACCAGAGATTTTCCTTCGTGGAATGACCATTTTTTCGCGGGCGCTCCGAAATTATCCTTAATTGTCTCCCCCCGATCGGGAGAAGCGAATGAACAACCATAACCTCGACAACGTGGCTCGGACTCCCATCGTATCCTCCTAATTATGAAATTGCATTTGCCAATCTAACCTATAAACAAGGGTAAGAGCGTTTCATTTTCGCGAATGCGATCCGATCTAATTCGATAATGCGACGTAACGCGGGTAATGCGTGGTTCTTGGCAATGGCAGATTTCCGCCGCGCGCAAACCGGATCGCATAATGTCAATTTTAACATGAGATCGCGCAATCCATTCCGCTAGTTGACCGACTAAAATCTGAGCCTAGAATTAGGCTGGACGTTAACAGGGAGTCGGGATGCCGAGTAACTAAAGAGTACACCCGGCTTAAAGCCCGTGATTATTCACCCGTGCATTATGCTCGGTGAAATCTCGCGGGATTGCGTAATACGAGGCTTACGTAGAAATAATACTACGCGTACATGCGCGTGCCGGGCAGGCGTGAAACAAACTCTAAAAAGAGACCAGCTCCGAGTGAAATCGTCATTCCGTGAAAACGACTGGCTCAATGGCCGCCAACCGGCACCTGGGATAAAAAGTTGCACGTTGCCTTTCGATCTAACACCTCGACATTGAAGCGAATTACCGATTTAGTCCGCAAAATGTAGGTGCACGTGGCCTGATTTTCTTCTTTGTCGCTTCGTACTTTCGATTTTTCTTTCTATTATCTATATATCTGTCGTCATAATGAGTCTATGCTTAATCGAGTTTTCGAATAAAAATATTATTTTTTATTATTTAGAGACGGGTATGACTTTCTGTACTAAATTAAACGAATGAATGAGTTCCTATGTACCAGACGATGCAACATTTTGACCATTTCAGTTGTTTTCTATATTTTTAAATTAGTTACACAGGATTTTTAGGAAATATAGTGAGGAACAATTTCAAGGCTTGGAAACTATGCATTTTGTAAATTGGATATTTCAGTTATACACCTTTTTAGGAGATATTAAGATTGCTCTTTTTTTTTTTTTTTTCTAATACAAATTCACTTATTATTCTCACAAAATATGTAAAGTTGACTGAGATGAATTCAACGAGGTTCGTAATTTTTTAATTGGCTCCTTCCGAGATATATCGCGATCTAAAGTACAACAGTACTGTCTGCATAATGGTGTTGTATAAAAGTGAATCCTGAGTCACGCAGAACATTACTCATGCACTTCGAGTTGCGATATTAACGAACGGTTGATTTAAAAGTTACTCAATTCTGGTTATTCAATTCCTCGCAATTTATTATACAATGTCCACAGGAATGCGAAGATAAAAATCCATTTTAAAAGTACAATAGCCTTCCCATCTCATTAAAGAAATACGTGGCAGGTTCATTACATATGTCATATAGACCTCAAGAAATTGTAGACATTTCACTTGAAACATATTTCCGTAATTATTATGCGGAAAATATATATCTGAGGAGTTCACAGCTGTTGAATCGAGGTTGGTGCAGAGATTTTCATCTCGTGGTTGAAAAAAGAAAAACATTAAACGTGCAACCGAAAACGTATGGTTAAAATTTATGAGGTACGAAGGACGCGTGAGAATACGCAAAGGTTTTTGCATGCACCGCCAGGAACCTCAATTGTACTTACCGTCGAAGGAAGTGCATTATGTCTCCAGGGATCGTGGCGTGAATAAGATTCCTTGAATCCGAAAATTCAAAAGTCAGGATCGACGAAGGATTTTTTTTATTGTTACACATTGTGGGCGCAATGGCACGTAGGCGATCTTTTTCTTCGCCGTCGAAAAGAATTGCATTGGTCGCGTGTAGGTGCTCGGTACGGTTAGTACGCGTACTTGCTTATGCGAACTTGCGGTTAAGTACGCGTACGTGCGTACTTGCCTATACGTACTTTGTGCACTTAAGTACGCGCACTTGCGAGCCGCATGGAAAGTCGAGGCGTCACGGATAAAACGCACAGCGGAGAACCGGCCAAGTGCGGCGACATGTCTTATTATTTTCATGCGAGGATTTCATAACTTGTCTTCTGGGGCTTTCACGGGGAACCTTGTGTTCCTTCTTCGCCTCTTACCACTATACGATTCAATTAGATATCCAAACTGGTGAAAATGTTTGCAAATTTCACGCATTTTAAACATACATTGTTGTATTAGAAGTGAAAATTTGGTGTCATAATTGGAATCGGGATGGCATGTTCGTAAATGTCTCAATGAAATTCGAACTTCATGATATTTTATCGGAATATTTTAGACCTACTTGTAAAATTAAAATCTTGGACGTTAAATGCATGTACGAATGTACCTATTATGCATTTCGTATACCGTATAAGATTAAAAATTTCTGTATACATTTCATGAATTTATTACAGTTCTTTTTTAAACTGATATTGTATGCTTAACTAATTTGTTTATACTCTGTTACCCTGCATTGTACGAACACTTTGTTTAGTTCTTTTTTTCTACTAGATGTATTGTTAATGAAAAAGTGGAATAATGTACTAAATTAAGAATACATTCGTAGATGCATTTTGTATGGTTTTCAATTTTGCACAGCTGATTTAAAAAAAAAATGTCAAATAAAACGTAAAATTCTAAAGTTTCTCATACGTTTACTAACATTTCGTACACTAATTTAGAGTACCATATCAAATTTGCAATTTTAATACATCTTTGTATATTTAAATTGTACGGAATGTATGACCACGTTTAATTAGGTATTTCCATTGGAGTTAAATTGTATTTTTATTCTATAAAAACGTGTACGGTAAGAACGGGGATCCACAAAAGTTGATATTAAAGGGAATGCCGCCCTAGGCTGTTTTATTATAAAAATATTACCGAGGCACAGTTTGCAGAGTTTCTAGACATTCCGTGACTTGAGAAACGAAGCATTTGTTACCTCATCGTCAATAAGTATTTCTTAATGTTTATTGAAAGTGGAGTACCCGCTCTGGGAAATCGTTTGCACATTAGTGCCTTTGATTCGTTCCTTCAGGAAGAAAGGATCGAATCCGATACGTTTTGGCCGATACATCACGGCACGATGAACAGGATGCATAACTTCGCGAACACATCTGAACGAAGTGCATTGCCATCGGGCTCGAGGAACCAAAAGAGGTGCTATTCTCTTCCAGGCTGCTCATCCACCTCTCATGAGTATTCACGGCCGAGACCGTGGATAATGCGCCAAGTCTCCACACATGCCACGCATCATATCTCACACACGCGGAATATTAATTCTCGTCATTCGTATGCAACACCGGTAATGCGCCGTAAACGCGTGACTGTAAGAGGCGTTACAGGTGCAAGTCACCCGAAGCAACGGCTCTTGGATATCGGCGAATGCCATTGCATTTTTTCCGGGGGATCAAGATAGAACGGAAAGTAAAAAAGGCATCCAAAATTCTTTCTAACTCTTTATTGTACGACGTTGCTATCAGGCAACAAACGATATATTTCTTCATAATATTAAGGTGATGTGAAAGTGGCGTCAAGGAGTCCTGGATATCGACGAATGTCAGTTCATTTTTCTGGGGGATCAAGATAGAACGGAAAATAAAAAAGGCATCCAAAATTCTTTCTAACTCTTTATTGTATGACGTTGCTATCAGGCACCAAACGATATATTTCTTCATGATATTAAGGTGATGTGAAAGTGGTGTCAAAGAGTCTTTGGATATCGGCCAAACGGCTCTTGGATATCGACGAATGCCAGTGCATTTTTCTGGGGGATCAAGATAGAAAAGAAAGTAAAAAAGGCGTCAAAAATTCTCTCTAACTCTTTATTGTACGACGTTGCTATCAGGCACCAAACGATATATTTCTTCACAATATTAAGGTGATGGGAAAGTGGCGTGAGTTCCCGTTAATGAAACTTTTCTCCAAATTGGGTGTACAGAATAGATTAAAACTTAACAATATAAATACGGAGGGTATCAGGAAGGTCCAGAAACTCATATCATTTTAATTTCTTTTAAATTGATTTACAGATATTTTCAAAATTATCTATGCAACGTGAAATTTCGGGACTTTCAGGACCCACCTTAGGGTCTCCTTATTCATGTGGAAAAGTTTGAAACGATTCGGTACACCCAGTTCGGAGAAAAGTTTCACGAACGATTGACTCTTTAGATGCCACTTTCACACCCCCTTAAAACGATTCTTACCGTGTAGCAAAGCCTAAAAAATGAATGAACAAATCAAATCGATGAAATTTCCTTACGGTGTAGTAGATTGTGACCAATTCTCTATACCCTAGATAATAGTTCACCCAACAATAGAGGTCCTTAAGTCATGCAATAGAAGGTTAAGACTCTTCCGAGGAAAGTGCGCCGAAAAGTTACCCACAGTCAACAATCATCGCAAACTTAAATCCTATACTATCTAAATCGTCCGTTTCTCCATATTGTTAACGTGGTTTTTGCATATGGCAGAATTCAAAAAATGTATTTGCACTTTATACCGTATAGAGCGTAACGAGAGGGAGATAGCCCCCGAGGGTGAAGGAGGGACCGAATAGATTTCCACGATATACAAGCCAAATTCGATATTCTTGAGGATTTAGCCTTGATAAGAAAATCCTTGAGAAATATCGATCGATCGATCCGACGTCGCGCAGTTTTTCCAGGGTCTCGTAGAGGGAGTCGCGCGGCGCCGAAGAGGGGGTGAGTTCTGGGGGCCGGATACTTCGGATTTTTTCGAGGGCTCCGTTTTCCTCGCAAGGTGTCGAGTTCCGTGGTTCGAGGTAGCTGAGCCAGGATGTCGTCTAGCGGAGAATTTTCAACCCTTTCGAGCGGCGAAGCCACGGGCACGGGAGAGGATTCTCTGCCGAGCTCCAGAGAAGCCACCGCGGAAGCTGCAGGCTCCGGGGGCGGCTTCGTGCCCCTTAGGGAGTTCCTCGACAGATTCTCTTTGCCGAGAGTCGTCAGGGTGGAAGGTGCCGGAGGAAGGCCGATCTTGCTCTACAAACAGCAGCCCAGATCTCTTAGGGTGACCGCGACGCTGTTGATGCATCGGTACAGGCACGATGTCAAGGTGGGCCCGGAAATCGTCATTCCCGAAGGATACCCCGGTGAGAGACACGAAATATTTCAGTTACTAGTTGTATTTTTAGTTTTTAATATGCCCATATTTTTGGTTAAGGTGAAATGAAAGGGTCATTGTATACATCAAAAAGGTGGGGATGCTGATAAAGCATTTTTCCAAACTGAGGGTACCGAATCATTTGAAAGATCAGCACTTGATCGCGAAGGCCTTAAGGTTTCCTTAGGGATACTCGTGACATTTCATTAAAATGAAATTTCTTTTTTATTTGCCTTAGATTAGAACCAAAATCACATTTACTGGCGAAAAATGAAATTTTACGAGCATCACGTTCTTAGTTAGGGCCTCCATAATCACGTGGTGACGTTTCAAATGATTCGGTACACCCAGTTTGGGGAAAAGTTGCATAAATATTTTAATGTTTCGTGTGTATAGAATGATCCTTTCATATCACCTTAACACTTTGACGGCCGCACATTTTTCGCATCGCCTTTAGTTTGCCATCCGTGCGTATCACGCTTATGTGAAAAAAAAAAAAGTCACGCGTACGTGATAGCGGCTGGCAATGTGTTAACATGGAGACGACCTCGTGTGAGGACGTCATACACGCAAGAAAATAATTCCCGGTTGTAATTAAGAATTTGACTTGCTTCGCGGGAATATGAAACACTTGAAAATGGAGACTTTAGGTTTTCATGCGGAAATGATTTTTTTTTCTGTACGGATAACGAGGAAACCGGGACAACGTGAATTCTATTCACGGTGATAATATTTTTTATTAGCCACAATATACTGTATCGTTTACTCGATCGAGTAGTAACAATTTCTTTGGATGTTGCTATATACTTATTTCCTAATTCGGTAAGCATTGTTTTTTTTTTCCGAGAGATCTTTGGGTATATTTAAATTTGATACACCTGAAACTATTTTGGGTGCAGTTCTTCCTGCCGCAGAAGGAAAATTTTATCAACAATGTCCTTTGTCTTTTGCTAAGAGGACAAAAATGTCTTTCTTCCCGCGTATGTAATGCAAAATGTATATATTAGTAATGGCCTTGACTTATCAAAATGGCGCCAAAAGAGCAAGATGATACAACGTTGAAACAGCCGACTTTTCGTATACCTGATATGAATTAAATAACCCTCGTTTATCAATCCTAATTTCACAGCGATATTTTCTTTTCGGTTTACAAATCATTCTGATTATCCCCGTTTCAATATTTATACGTTACATTTATAATTTACCGTTTTTGCGAAATATGCATTATTCTTTATTGCTAACTAAATCGTGCGTACAGAAAATAAGTTTTCATCAGTTTGTTTTGAAGGTTCAGTATTTCTGGAATTTCTACTTTCATATTATTATTTTAAGTATCAAAGGGCACCGGTTAAATACCCTCTATGCAATATATTGCACTTGTTGTATATAACAATACATTTATTTTAAAAAATATCAGACGTCGATAAAGAGGTAATTTGATAATTAAAAGTGCGCCTCCCAGATATCTCAGCAGTCCCTTCAGATGTCTTTGGCGACGTCAATTCGTGGCGGGGGCGGACGTCCGGAGTCTGCCAGGGTAGGTGATGATTTAATCAGAACTTTCGAGCCGTCGGTACCAACGAAAAGGCCGATCGATAAAAGGGAAAGGATCGGCGATATCCATTGTGCAATCGCGTGACGCAGCTTGTTAGGTCGCAAAATAAATCGCCGATAAGTCGCGCTCGTACGGTGTGGGTGTTTTTGCGGGGAGGGAGAGGAGGTTCCATTCAGTCGTAATGGCGGCCACGTCTGAGACTTACTCAGCAGAAAATCGAGATCAATTCACCGACGGCTATCCGATCGGTCGGAGGGCCTTGCGAGTTCGTGGCAAGGTCGCACGGGGCTTGGCGAAAATCATTCAAATGCAAATCGCCTTATCGGGAATTTATTTGTAAAGTAAAACATCTTAATGCAATGGCACATTGGAAATTGAAATTGAATGAAATTGTGTAGATGGTTGGCCTTTTTTCGTTAAAAATTTAGAAGAAAAGTGAAAAATCGAGATCAATTTATGGACGGCTATTCGATCGATCGGAGGGCCTTGCGAATTCGTGGCAAAGTCGCTCGGGGCTTGGCGAAAATCATTCAAGTGCAAATCGCCTTATCGAGACATTTACTTGTTAAGTAAAGGGAGCCATTTCGACATATGGGCGAAATTCCTCTGACCGTGCAGGCAATATTGGACCAAACGTCGGGCGCCTTTAAGCGCTCTTACTAGCCAAAGGGTTAAATCGTATAATTAACCTTAGAAAATATTTGATTCAACACTCAATATGCTAAATTATTTTGATATTTGACGCGACGTCCCATAATATTCGATGTAATCAATCATAAGTTATTAACCAAAGAATTGTACCACGTCAACCTCGTACGCTGGTTATCCATTATATTCATTTTCCATGGTTAAATCGTGAAAAATGTTATCGCTTCAACTAAATACTTTTCTGCGAGCAGTCGGAGTGGATCGAAATTGAAGCGGAATAATGAGGGAAAAAATGCATAAAAGATTAAGATGGAAAGGACGAAATCGGAATTCGACGGAAAGCGAAGGGGTCGCCGAATCGAAACGTCGATCGATCATTCCGAGGCATCCCGGCGATCGACGTGTCGCAGGAGCTTCCGCGTAGGTTCGAGTATTTCGTGATCGTCGACTAGAGACCCCCCCACGGGATGATGTCACGACCATTCGCGGAATACTCGATTCCCCGAAGAGTCCCTCCGTAGATCGACTCCGACGGCATTATCGGCACGCCATTGATTCCCGACCCTGGTCTGCCTCCTCGACATGGCTCCGAGGAGGTCCCGGGACGACTTAGCTCCCTTACTCTCCCCTAGCCCTAGTAGCACAAAATATTTCTCCTATATTTTCTATATATTTAACGTATATCGTACATTTGAAATATTTGCAAAACGTTTACTTTAGAATATTATCCCTATAATATTTATATAATATTACCTCCATGTGTCATTCATAATATCTCTCTACCAAATATACGAAACATTTCGTTTCATTTTAATACAAGTACTTTTTAAATATTATCTGCCGAATACATTATAAACGTTTTGAAAATATTTAAAATCAACATCACACGTTTTGCTCCCATAATGAAATAGCCGAACGAAAGTATTAGAAAAATTCCTCGTGTTTCTTGATACCAAATGAAGTGTCCGATAATAGTCGTGAAGTAAGAAATGTATTTTTATTACACGTTCATAAATTACAAAAAATATAATTTCTATATATGTGTATAAATTATTGAAACTAAATATGTCATTGAGACTTTCAACAAATATTTCAGATATTTTCGAATGAAATCTACAAGAAATCTTGAAAGATCTGTCGCTTGAGATGTTTAGCAAAGATTACAATGAAATATTTAGAAATTATTCTATGCTACTAGGGAGGCGGTGTAGTCGATCGTAGGTACTTGTCAACGAGAGTTTCCGAGGACTTACCGACGCAAATGCGATTACACGTGTTGCGAGTACGCGGCAGAGAGGGAACGGTGATTTAACCCGAGTCCGCGGAAAGAAAGTAACATATGGTAGTGGGTGGCGGGAGCTTTCCAACAATGAACCTCGGCTTTGCAGGAACTTACCTACGGAGGTAGGAAAGCCAACGAGAGGCTCTCGAGCGCGAACAAGGAGTTCCATAAGTTACAGAATTGACGGAAATTTAATATATTCAATATAAAAGAGATTAATTGCTCCGAGAAGAACCAATATCTTCGTAAAAATACAATTTTCAAACCTACATTAATTAGCGATTAATTCCCACGTGAAGAAATACTTCGATTCTCCCATGTTTTTCATGTTTCTGTCCTGCGATCTTCACTAGGGGTGGCGATTCACCCCTTTAGGGGTGAGGAAAAAAAATTAAAATTCAATTTTTCTGCGAGCAATTAATTAGCAATAAATTCTGGTATATAATTCATCGATGAACATTTACTTAATAATTGTTTTTTACTGTGGCAGACTTTATATAAAGCTAACGTCGCCACCATTTTCCGGAAAAGTATAAGAGCAAAGAATTCTTTTCTTGTGCAATAAAATAGCAATGAATTAGCAATAAATTTTGCAACAAATTCTATTGAATTGTGCCAAAGTGGCAATTCCAGCTTGATATACATGCCGCGGATCGTTCTCTATAAATAGTCGAGGAAGGTACGAGGTAACGTGGCCGAGCGTGCCGCGAATTATAATTTAATATCGCCCCGATAGGCGCTGCACCGCCGACAGGGTGCATAGGCGTGCACATGATCTGCAACAGGCTTGAACCAAGCCTGCACTCGACGTGCACGTGGTCGCGTCTAGGTGGAGACCTTCTCTGAGGTGTGCACTCCGGTCGGCCTATTATTCAGGTTGGTCCTCGTTGGTGTCCCCGTCGACGTTGGTCCCCCTGGTCCCCCTGGTCCCCGTTGGTCACCTCCGGTCACCCACCGACGCGATTCGCGGTAGGCGGTCGGTGACACAATACCTGGAGTATTTAGCACGGTCCTGGTGATAATTTTCAGGACGAAAACCGGGAGGCTGGAGTCTCCATATTTATGGGTGTGCGCGTTCAGGGTCAAAAAGGATCATCGTTTACAGACGGCGTGAGAAATATTTATGGTTCAGGTGTAGGCCGATTGAGGGTGGATATTTATTTCCCTTGTTATATTTTACACACATCCGCAATAACACAACGCCTTTAATCGAGATTTCTCGCTAGGCGATGAGGAATTCTGTAATTAACACTAGGTTTACGGGCGTTTTTTATATACCTGTTTCTACGAGCACCCGTCAAATTGACGGGTAAACGAAAACCCGCATTTTCTTTAAAAAATCGATTTATTCAAATTAAGTCTGTATTAAACAACCCTAGGCTTTACGTTTAAATAAATTATTAATAAGTAAAAAGTCCTTTTTTAAAAATTATCACGGAAATGATTGGAATGCTCGTCCTCTCATCCTCGGAGTCAGAACTAGAAAGAATGCGCGTCCTTTTCT